TTTGCCCAACACAGTGAGGAAGTGGAAAGGAAGACACAGAAGAGCCTGTGGTCCTCATAGGCTGAGAAGCCCGGGAGGTACATGGAAGAACAGTCATTTCTGTCTTCGTTTAAAGATTTTTTTTTTTTTTTTGAGACAGAGAACGAGAGAGAGAGCACACATGAGAGAGGGGAGGGTCAGAGGGAGAAGCAGGTTCCTTGCTGAGCAGGGAGCCCGATGCGGGACTCGATCCAGGGACTCCAGGATCGTGACCTGAGCCGAAGGCAGTCGCTTAACCAACTGAGTCACCCAGGTGCCCCATTTCTGTCTTCTTAAATAGTTCCTTGTAGTGTGCTCTCTCTCTCACACCTTTCACCATTCACATGTATGTAGTAATGGCCACATGTCTCATGAAGACTTTTCTGTATAGGCAGATTCAGTTGGGGTTACCAGAAGCCCGAGTTGAAAATAGAAGAGATCCTGTAGTTTGAAGGCACAAGAATTAGTAAAAGTGTAGGGAAAACTTAATATTTATGAAGACTACCGGAATCCGTGGGGTCCAAGCTAAGAATTCCAGCCTTGCAACCAGAAGCAGATTGTACTTGAATTACTTATCAAAGAGGGAGCTATTTCCAGGAATATGTTTTTCATGGTGACTTGAAGAAGGATAGATAAAAGGAGATCCAGAGAAGAGTGAGTGGTCAAGTTTGTCGTGCAGGGGTGGAGTTAGCTTGAATGAAAAGTGAAGGGAGGGAAGGCCTCCAGACTCACCTCTTTTATCCTCTTCCCCATGTTTAGGAACCCTTTGAAACTTTTCATCTTCTGTGATACAGGCCTGGAATTCAGTTTGGGGCGTATATTCTGAAAGTTTGACATCAGTTGCACATGTGTGAAATGTAGAAACTCAGACCCCACCCAAATATCAAAATCGGAATACGAATTTTAACAAGGTTTTCAGTTCATTGTCCTACACAGTAACATTGGAGAAGGACGCATCTATCTCACCTATACACTTCCATTATTCTATTCCTGTTTTCGTGTCTGTAGGACATTATTTTGATGCCTGTGCCTTAAATCAGGAAGTGAGCTCTTCATTTTCCCCAGATTATTATGGTATGTGTTATCCTGTGACATTCATGTAAAGTTAGGGTGGATTTTAATCTTTTTGCAAAAATGGCATTGGAATTTTGGTAGACATTGCATTAAATACTTTAAGTTTTATTGTATTCCATTTATAAGTATTCCAGTGAGACCTTAGATATGTTTCCAGTTATTTCTTCTTTCAATTCCTACACAATATTTTATAGTTTTCATTCCGTGGTTAGACCTCCATCATCATGTTAAAATGCAAGCATTTTATTTTGGGAGATGTCACTCTAAATGTATTATGTCTCTTTTGGAAATTGTTCTTTGTTATATAGAAACAAAACTAATTTATTTTATTTTATTTTTTTAAAGATTTTATTTATTTATTTAAGAGAGAGAATGAGATAGAGCATGAGAGGGGGGAGGGCCAGAGGGAGAAGCAGACTCCCTGCTGAGCAGGAAGCCCGATGCGGGACTTGATCCCTGGACTCCAGTATCATGACTTGAGCCGAAGGCAGTCACTTAACCAACTGAGCCACCCAGGCGCCCCGAAACAAAACTAATTTTTATGTGTTGGGTTTGTGTACCAACTTTGTAAAATCCATTTGAGTTTTAACAGGATTATAACAATAAGGATTCCCCAGGAAAGGAAATGACAGCAGAGGAGGAGGATCCTAGACTCATCACATACCCTGAACACCACGAGATAACTATCAGATCATCCTAAATACCCCAGAGATTGGGCTGAAGACTGACAGGACAAACTCCCAAAGAAAAGGAGAGAAGAGGTAACACTGAAGATGGCAGACAGTTTGGAGACATGGTTTAGGGAGAAAAGGAGTATATCGCTGTGGAGGGCAGGGAATTGTGGTTGTGGAGAAAATAGCATGACAGAGGAGCTCACAGGGGATCGCATAAGGAGAAGGTTTCCCCAAAGCCATTGGCTTGGAAAGGGAGAGGGGATAAATTTCACGAGTTCATGGAACTCGCATGTCTTAAAGCCTGAAGTTTTAATGGTCAGCAGGTTTGGATGAGATAGTCAAGAGGGCACTGTGCTCCTGGAGAGAAGGCAGGCAGACAACGGGGAAACAGCCATCTAAAGAACACCTGGGGCACACAGTGGGGAGAATATTCACAAGTCTAGGAGCACTTTACTTTGCGGAAACATTCAGCGAGACATGTCTCCAAGAACACAGGAGTTGGATGGTACCATTTTCCTCTTCCAGCCTGTAGCATAAACACAGAGCCCCACTCAGTGAGGACACCGGCTGTTTGCCTAGCTTGCACCAAGCCTCACCCCCCTGTGATCTGATGGGACTGCCCTTCTCAGTGAGGCTTGCCTCAGGCTCAGCAAGGTGCACCCCTACCCACATCACATCTCCTGAGCAGAGAGTTCTGTAGGGCCTCAGCTCGGGTAGGCTTGATGTCAGGTCACCTTTGACAAGCAGGCCAGAGCTCACCTAGTTAAAACCAGCCACATTCAGGCCAGGCACCAAACACTGCCCATAGCAGGCAAGGAGAGTCTCTGCAGACCACTGGCTTTTCTAACATACAGATGAAGGCAGAGACTTAGACAAAATGCCAAGATGAAAGAATTTATCCCAAATGAAATGAGATATGGCCATGGCCAGAGATATAAAGGAAATAGATATGAGTAACATGCTTGATGGAGAATTCAAGGCAACAATCATAAGGATACTCACAGGGTTGAGAAGAGAATTCTGAGAACCTTACCAAGAGATAAGAAAAAATTGGGGCACATGGGTGGCCCACTCAGTTAAGCATCAGACCCTTAGTTTTGGCTCATGTCTTGATCTCACGGTCCTGCGATCCAGCCTCAAGTCAGGTTCTGCACTCAGTGCGGTGACCCTTGCAATTCCCTGTCTCCTTCTGCAGCTCTCATTCCTGTTCTTGCTCTCTTTCTCTTCTCTAAAATAAATTATTAAAAAAATCAGAGATGAACAGTGCAATAAACGAGTTTGGAAACAGGCTTGATGCAAAAACAGCAGGCTGGAAGAAACAGGAATGACTTTGTGACCTAGAAGACTAAATAAAGGAAAATAATGAATCTGAACAAAAGAGAGCTAGAAGAATCCTGTAGCACAAGGTTTGATTTAGGGAACTCAGTGACTCCATCAAATGTAGTAACATTCCTAGGTCTTGGGCTTTTCTGTGCTGGGAGAGTTTTGATTACAACTTCAACTTTCGGGGCCCCTGGGTGGCTCAGTTGTTAAGCGTCTTCCTTTGGCTCAGGTCATGATTCTGGGTTCCTGGGATCAAGCCCCGCATCGGGCTCCTCGCTCAGCAGGAAGCCTGCTTCTCCCTCTCCCACTTCCCCTGCTTGTGGTTCCCTGTCTGGCTGTGTGTCTCTGTGTCAAATAAATAAATAAAAAATCTTAATTAAAAAAAAAAATTCGACTTTCATTCTTTTTTTTTTTTTTAAAGATTTTATTTATTTATTTGACAGAGAGAGACACAGTGAGAGAGGGAACACAAGCAGGGGGAGTGGGAGAGGGAGAAGCAGGCTTCCTGCCGAGCAGGGAGCCCGATGCGGGGCTCGATCCCAGGACCCTGGGATCATGACCTGAGCCGAAGGCAGACGCTTAACGGCTGAGCCACCCAGGCACCCCTCAACTTTCATTCCTGTTATTGGTCTAAGATTTCCCATTTCTTTGGTTCAAGCTTCTTAATTCAGTCTTAATAACCTGTGTATTCTTAGGTTATTAACTTTTTTTTTTCTAAATTATCTGATTTTTTTAGTATGTAATTGTTTATGTAGTTAAAGCATTGATAGTTGTGTTTATTATTTTGGCTAAAATGGGTATTACTTTCAATGTTCTTTTATTGTTTATTCTGGTAGCTATTTTATTTATATCAGATTTTTTTTTTAATCCATTTTATTCAGCTTTTTTTTTTTTTAAAGATTTTATTTATTTGAGGGAGAGAGAATGAGAGACAGAGAGCATGAGAGGGAGGAGGGTCAGAGGGAGAAGCAGACTCCCCGCCGAGCAGGGAGCCCAATGCGGGACTCGATCCCGGGACTCCAGGATCATGACCTGAGCCAAAGGCAGTCGCTTAACCAACTGAGCCACCCAGGCGCCCCTATATCAGATTTTTCTTTGTTACTTCCTTCCTCTACTAAATTTCAGCTAAGTTTCTTCCTTTTCTAGAACTTTGTGGTGGGAAGTTAGATTGTTTATTCCAACTTTTTTCTTAACCATGTATAGCCTAAAAAAAAAAAAAAATTGAGGGCGCCTGGGTGGCTCAGTCGGTTAAGCGACTGCCTTGGGCTCAGGTCATGATCCCAGGGTCCTGGGATCGAGTCCCGCATCGGGCTCCCTGCTCTGTGGGGAGCCTGCTTCTCCCTCTCCCACTCCCCCTGCTTGTGTTCCCTCTCTCACTGTGTCTTTCTCTGTCAAATAAATAAATAAAATCTTAAAAAAAAAAATTGAAAATGGAAAGTCTATTAGAAAAAACTAGCAAAAATAAACAATGTTTACAATGACCAAAAAAGAAAAACAGCAAAAACATTAAAATTAGGATTCTCTAGGGTTTTCAATAGATCATGTCATCTGTGAACAGAGATATTTTTTCCATTTCTTTTTCAATATGGATTCCTTCTATGCATTTTTTTGTTGCCTGATTCTTCTGACTAGAATACCCAGTACTTCATTCAAATCATTCAAAGGCAGTGGTGCAGTTACTTCATTACAGTGTTTCTGATCTTTGAGAAGCTTGCAGTCTTTTACTATATAGTATTTTAGGTTTCAGCTTTTCATATGCATATGGCCTTCATTAGGTTGAGGGGGTTTCCTTCTGTCTCTATTTAGTGTTTTTATTTATAACATGTTGTCCAATATGCTCATATTTGTGTTCTGTCTCAATATCATGTCTTTTTTTTTTTTTTTAAGATTTTATTTGAGAGAGAGAGTGCACAGGCAGGGGGAGCAGAAGAGGGAGAGGGAGAAGCAGGCTCCCCGCTGAGCAAGGAGCCTGATGAAGGGCTCAATCCCAGGACCCTGGGATGAGGACCCGAGCCGAAGGCAGACGCTTAACCAACTGAGCCACCCAGGTGCCCGTGATCATGTCATGTCATTTTTGATCATCATTCTATTAATGTGGAGTCCTCAATTTATAGTTTTCTATATGTTGGAACACCCTTAATTCCAGGACAATTTCCCACTTAACATACGTTGTAAAATGGTAAAATGTGCTTTTGATTCAGTTTGCTCTGTTTAATTGTGGACTTTCCATGAATATTCCTCACAGGTAGTGGTTTGTAGCCTTTTTTATTTGTAGTGTGTTCCCCTGGCTTGGATAACCTGGTAATGCTGGTACCCCAGAGAGAGTGTTTTGCTAATTTCTCTTATGTTTTCTCTTTGGACATGTTTGAGGAGATTTGAAGTCCTTTCTCATTAAGTGTCTGTCTGGGCACAGGACTTGTCTTTGTTGGGAGTTTTTTTTTATTACTCTTTCGATCTGCTTAGTAGTTGTGATTTTTTAATACTTCATGATGGTAATACCTTTTTTGATATTTATTGTTTTCTTTTGGTATCACTTTGTTGGCAAATGATTATCCATTGTCACCTCATATCATTACTTTTATTTCTATGGTATTAGTTACTATGTCTGCTTTTACTTCTTCACTTCTTATTTTAGTTGGTCCTTTCTCTTTCATTCTTACTTGATTATTTGATGGGCTGTCAATTTTGTTGATCTTTTCTGACAACCAACTCTTCCTATTGTTGATTCGTTCCTATTTTTACTATATCCGGTTTGGTTCATTTCACTTTTACGTTTAAATATCCTTCCTTCTACTAATTTTGCACTCATGTGACACTTCTGATTATTTGAGATGTAGGAAAGTGATTTGTGCTACAAAATGACAATACCACAGAATTATCTATTAGGATATGGTCAGTATATTGTGTGCAAAGTTACGTGTCCATGGATAAATGAAGTCCTGATGATTCCTTCTCAGCCATCTTTCTGACATTGTCTGATTGACTTGAAGCATGTAGTTAGAAGTCATCAGTGTATTTATCTAAAAATAATAAGTGAAATGATTTTCTCTTATTTCTTATCATTTAGGCATATCTTTACATACCCAGTGCTTCTTGCCAAAGCCAAGCATAAAAAGTTCTTTCCAAGAAGTGTCAATGTGGACATACACAAATAGTGTCCCTGAGAATTTATACTTAATGACAGATTGGGACAATGATGGGGAGAGTGAAGGGCATCAGAGATATCATGAAGGACCTATTCAAACTGAGACACCTGCCTTTAATAAGAAACTCACTGCCCCAAATGGTGAAGGATATAAAACTATATGGACAACCTCCCTTTTTAAGTCAGCTGTTTCTGAAAAACAGTGTGATTCTGCAAGAAAAAGCTACTATCAAATATTCAAACATACATGTTTGTGGAAAGAAAATTTGGAAGATCGGGAAAGTTATCTAGCCCATGCTGAAAGTAATGATTTGAACCATTTTGAAGATAGGATTGGATTGACCTATCAGTCAAATATTTCTGATAATCAGAGATTTAGAAATGAAGAACAGTATGCTAAGTGGGATCTATTTGAGAGGTGCCGCAATGTGGAGTTGACCCTACAGAATTACCAGAGCCTTTTCAATGGAGACAGAATTGCTCAATGCAGTGAATCTGAGAGAACATTTAACCAGTGCTCTAGTGTTAATAGACGTGTGATGACTCCATTTCCAAAGAACCATAGTGAATGTCATAAATGTGGGGAAGTCTTTAATCAGAGCTCTAACCTTACTATACATGAGACTATCCATGTGGGAGAGAATCCTTATGAACATAATCAGTGTGGGAAGACTCTTAAGCAGTCCTCCAGTATTGGTGATCATCAGAGAATTCATGAGGGAAAAAACCCATTCAGGTGTAATAAGCCAGGGAACATGTTTAGTCAGTCATCAAGACTAAATATAAATAATACAATCTCTACTGGAGAGAAAAAGTACATTTTTAAAGAAAGTGGTAAAGCCTTTGACTTGCACTCAACACTAACTCAACATCAGCAAATTGGAGAGAAAACATATAAATGTGAAGAAGGTGGTAAAAGCTTTAAGGACTGCTCATCACTAAATAGACACAGGCAAATCCATACCGGAGAGAAACTTTACATGTGTAAAGAATGCGGCAAGGTCTTTAAGAGGCTACACCACCTTACTCAACATCACAGAATTCATACTGGAGAGAAACCTTACAAATGTAAAGAATGCGGCAAGGCCTTTAACCATCAATCAAACCTTATGAAACATCACAGAATTCATACTGGAGAGAAACCTTACCTATGTAACAACTGTGGCAAAGCATTCAGATTTCGCTCAGTCCTTACTGAACATCACAGAATTCACACTGGAGAGAAACCTTACAAATGTAAAGAATGTGCCAAGGCCTTTAACAGTCAATCAAACCTTACTCAACATTATAAAGTTCATACTGGAGAGAAACCTTACAAATGTCAAGAATGTGGCAAGGCCTTTAACCACCACTCAACACTTACTGAACATCACAGAATTCATACTGGAGTGACGCCTTACAAATGTAAAGAATGTGGCAGAGCCTTTAAGTTTCACTCAAACCTTACCAAACATCACAGAATTCACAGTGCAGACAAACCTTACCAATGTAAAGAATGTGGCAAAGTCTTTAAATTACGCTCAACCCTTACGGGACATCATAGAATTCATAGTGCAGAGAAACCTTACAAATGTAAAGAATGTGGCAAGGCCTTTAAGAGGCAGTCAGCCCTTAATCGACATCACAGAATTCATAGTAGAGAGAAACCGTACAGATGCGAAGAATGTGGTAAAACCTTTAAAGACTGCTCATCACTAAATGCACATAGGCAAATCCATACTGGAGAGAAACTCTACAAATGTAAACAATGTGGCAAAGCCTTTAACGGGCACTCAAACCTTACTCAGCATCACAGAGTCCACACTGGTGAGAGACTCTACAAATGTAAAGAATGTGGCAAAGCCTTTACGTTGCACTCAGGACTTACTCAACATCACAGAGTTCATACTGGAGAGAGACCTTACCAATGTAAAGAATGTGACAAGTCCTTTAACCAGCTCTCAATGCTTACTCGACATCACAGAATTCATACTGGAGAGAGACCTTACCAATGTAAAGAATGTGGCAAGGCCTTTAACAGACAATCAATCCTTAGTCAACATTACAAAATTCATACTGGACAGAAACTGTAAAAATGTGAGGAATGTGGTAAAGCCTTTAAATTACACTCAACCCTTGCTCGACATCACAGAATTCATACCGGAGAGATATGAGATGCCCTTCTTCATTAGGTGGAACTCATGCATACCTAATTTTCCATGGATGATGGACAGTATAATACACAAATATGCAGAAAAACTAAATGGAGATGCTATTTATGGTTATAACATTGATGTGAGTTACCATGAAATAGCTATTCAGCTGTACGATACTCCATGTATTGTAAACTAAAGAACTTCCTGAACATTAGAAATACAAGATTTTAATAAAATTAAAAAAAAAATACAAGATTTTACTAATAGCTCTTTAAGGAAAAAGGTGGCAGTCCAGTAAAGTACTGATAATATCTTCAGAGCAATCATTAGAGTGTGAGGTGATGTGGTTGAAATGAAGAAATCCTGACACACCAGAGGGAGGATAACTGGTTTGTTTGGACTGGAGAAGGGAGGCACTGGGCAAAGTGCGCATGGAGTGGGGAAGGGGCGCTGCCTGTGTAGATTCGTAGGCTGCCGACCCCGCTGCCGTGCACTGGGGTGACATGCCAACTAACACCAACCATGACAACTAACGCCAACCATGAAAGATCCAAGTCACAGCAGTACTAGCCCAAGCATCATCAATGAAGATGTGACTTTATTAATGGTCATTCTCATGAAGATGACAATCCATTTGCAGAGTACATGTTGATGGAAAATGAAGAGGAATTCAACAAATAGAAGAGGAGTTATGGGAAGAAGAATTTATTGAACACTGCTTCCCAGAAATGCTGGAGGAAGAAGAAGAACGTGAGTGGCTTATTCCAGCTCGAGATCTCCCACAAACTATGGACCAAATCCAAGACCAATTTAATGACCTTGTTATCAGTGATGGCTCTTCTCTGGAAGATCCTGTGGTCAAGAGCAATCTGAATCCAAATGCAAAGGAGTTGGTTCCTGGGGTGAAGTACTAAAATATTTGAGTAGACGGGGCCCTTTTTTGGTGGATGTAGCACAATTTCCACACTGTGAAGGCAGTATTAGGAGTCTTAATTGTAAAAGCCCTCTTGTCACTGTGTTACATTTATGCATTGCCAAAGTTTTGTTAGTCTTGCATGCTTAGTAAAAGTGCTGAGACTGTTACTAAGGATTAAGCTGTCATTTCACTTTTACTGAGCTGTATGGCACTCTAGGGAAGAGTTAGCTGAAACGTTTACTGAAAATAGAATTGGCCCCATGACTTGATGTGAAGACAGCGAGAAAAGAAGCACTAGTAAAGTTGTGACAAAGCACCAAATTAAAATGACCCCTAAATCTTAGTGAATTGTCTTTTAAAGCTAAACTAGTCCCTTAGGGTTAGCGAATGCTAGTTAATATCTAAACTTTATAAAAACGAGTACATTTAAATGAAGTTCTAGTTGTTAGGCATATTTCTCAGTTCAGACTTAAATTTGCATTTGTAACAAAAAGGATCTCCTTTTTCTGAAGAAGGCCTTGTTAGTTAATTTGAAATAATTCTTTACAGACAAGTATATCTTTGGTGTACTGAAGTTATAAGGTAGTAATCAGATGAGAACTAGTCCTGACTTCGATGGTATTTTATCATGTAAGAAATAGTGAATTCTGGGCGCCTGGGTGGCTCAGTTGGTTAAGCAACTGCCTTCGGCTCAGGTCATGATCCTGGAGTCCCTGGATCGAGTCTCGCGTCAGACTCCCTGTTCGGCGGGGAGTCTGCTTCTCCCTCTGACCCTAGCCCCTCTCATGTGCTCTCTCTCATTCTCTCTCTCAAATAAAATCTTTAAAAAAAAAAAAAGTGAATTCTTCTAATGTTACATCTGAGGAAGTATGTAATTTGAGAATTGCATCTTCTATGGAGTCACTGCATCATAGCTATGCCTATGTGAAGTGCAACGTTTGACCCACCATAATCCAACTGAACAAAGTAATGGTAACGTGATTTGAGTGGTGCTTTTCCTTGCTTTGTTAACCATCACAATAGTCTACATCACAACTTTTCTTTTAACAAAGCTAGAACAGTTTTGGCTTCTTAAACTTCATACTTGGGTAGGTTAAGCTGCCATACATGTTCAGTGTGAATAGTGTTTAAGTTGAAAATATTGTAAAAAAATTATATATTTTTAAAAAATATTTAAAAAAATAAATAGTACAACTGGGGGGCCGGGGGCGGAAGGATAGCTAACTCTTCCCTAGAGTGCCATACAGCTGTACTTAACACCTTTCTTAAAAATGACCTCAGGCCTGAAATCTATGGAAATTACTGCTCCCACATCATGATAGCAGCACTTGAATGCTTTTTAAAGCTTGTATTCTGTATTTTGAAAGGTGATAATAGAGTGGATTTGAAATGCATAACTTAGTCTTTGTGTGAACTTAAATATATTTTAATAAAACAATTTTTTTTTAAAGATTTTATTTATTTATTTGACAGAGAGAGACAGCTAGAGAGGGAACACAAGCAGGGGGAGTGGGAGAGGGAGAAGCAGGCTCCCCACTGAGCAGGGAACCCAACTGGTGTTCCATCCCAGCACCCTGGGATCGTGACCTGAGCTGAAGGCAGATGCTTAACCTACTGAGTCACCCAGGTACCCCAAAACATAATTTTTAACGTGTTAACATGGATGTGTAATGAATGACATGTTATCCCACCACCAATGTGAATCCATCTCATTTTATTGAAGGTTGTAGGTAACTGATGGTATCATCTATTTGGTAACGGTGTGGAATAATATACTTACAAATCCATTTTCTCAGTGATCTTAAGGTTTATATGATGTGATTATTTTCCCCCTAGTCTGTCATACGATTTTCTCTTTGTGAAAACTCTGGTATTATTATGCATATATTAGAGAGGGGTATAATATAGAGGTGTTGTTGAGGTTTTTGCTCATGTACTCTATGCAATTGCTACTTAGCGTCCATTTGGTGTAGGCAGTATTTTGCAGTGGCCTTGAATGACATCAGCCATTCTCACTAGTGAATCCCAAGACAACACGCTGCAGAGTCCCAAGTTAATGTAACTGCTGATATGACATCTTCATTCCATTCTTGTAAGCAACCCTCTCTCCTTTTTCCCAAAGCATTCCCCTCCCGTATCCCTTAGAGAAGACACCCACAGAGCTTACCTAAGCCTGCTTTAGTTTGAATGGCCTAGTCTGTACTTAGTCCTAGGACTCTGAAGCACTTCACCATGGCCCCAAATAAAGATATGTGCCCCACGTCATAGGTGGAGGTGTTTTTTTGATGTGTATATGAAATATATGTGTGCATATGACTGTTGGGTGTGTAATTGATAACCCATAAATAAGTGAAACCTATCCCAATGAGAGTGATATGGTAGCCCACATAAGAGATAGAAAATCTTTAAGATGAAGAATTAGCATGTGGAGAAGGACAACTGTCCGAAGGTGCACAACTGATTCCCTGTATTTAGAAAATATCTTCTTTTCTCCAGTTTTATTTTTCTTCATTATGTTTCCACGTACAAAGGCATCACAACCATTCTTTTTTCCTGTGTTTTGCCGAGAGAGTCCTCTCTAAACACTTGAGATTAGAGTGATGGAAGGCCAGTGGGTACTCAGACATTCACAGTGGGATGTGACATGTGAATCTAAGAAAGACTTGATGAAGCACCAACTTGAGACAGGTAAGACCTATTAAAATGTGAAGAATTCTTCCAATGTGGTGAGGAAACTGGAGGTGGCTCCCTTTAGTCAGTACAAAGTCACAGGGCACTTACAGGTATCATTGGATGAATGCCTATAACGGGGAAAAGGAATTGGCAAAGGTGATGGGTTTCTAAGGAGTAGCAAAGTCCTGCTTTATCTTCATGAACTGATTGAATTCCTGTGTCTTAGCTGAGGACTAACGATGTTGGATGTTAATGATTACTGAGTTTCCCCAGGCCTAGATCAGTGCCAAGTGATGGATGAGGGTATTGGATGATGCAATGCAATTATTTGTGCAGAGCTTTAAAAATGTCACAGGGCAGAATAGATGTTCAAGATGAAGTTTTCTGGACAGTGGAATAGGCAGGATGAGCAAGGCATGTGCTGTGGTTAAACCCAAGCACTTGTTGCCCAGGTAGATAACCCCAGTCAAGGTAAGGGCCCTGTAGTTGGGCGATCTTTCAGGGAAGGTGATGCACTGCTGTGTGGGACCTTCCTCCCTTTAGTCAGTGTCATGATGAGTGTAGTCCCGAGCTCTGGCTCTGCCCATGGCAGGGATTTGTTGGAGGAACAGTTCCAACAGTGAGAGGCAAGAAGCATTTCTGTTCAAACAGTCTAGCGCAAGTGTTCACTGACTACAGAATGAATAAAGATGTGGGGTATATATAGTAGGGAATATTTATCAACTTATAATTAATGAAATCTTGGCATTTCCACAACATGGAGCTAGAGAATATTCTGCTAAATGAAATAAGTCAGAGAAAGTCAAATACCATATGATTTCACTCATACTTGGAATTCAGAAATCAAAACAAGTGAGCAATGGGAAAGAAAGAAATGGAGAGGTAAACCAAGAAACAGACTCTTTAGAGAACAACCTGATGGTTGCCAGAGTGGATGTGGGTAGATGGATGCCTTAAATAAGTGATGGGGACTAAGGATTGTCCTTATGATGAGCACTGGGTGTTGTATGGAATTGTACAATCACTATTGTAAACCTAAAACAAATGTTACCTTGTGTGTTTTAAGTGAAATGCAAACAAAAACCTTAGAAAATGTTTTGTTTTTTTTACACATTTAAGAGACTTTTTGTCTTTGGTTGACTGACTTGCAGTAGTTACACAAAATATACCTTTGTAAACAAATTGAAACATTCATCTTTTCTCCCTTTCTGATTCCTCCCCAATTCAGAATTCTCAGTAACTATTCTTAATTTTTTATGCCATCATATGTATATGCATAATTTCATAAGAATCTGTTATCCATATGACAAGAAATCGTTAGAAATACTGTTATATAACCAAGGTTTTTGTGAAGATTTCATTTGAGAGAAAGCCTGAGTGAGCACGAGTGTGGGTGGGGGAGTGACTCAGCAATCCAGGCACCCCTGTATTACCAAAGTTTTGACTGGAATGTCACAGCTCAGAAAGAGCTGCATAAACTCAGATATGACGAGACAGGTATAGGGACTGAGACTGAATTTATGGAGTCAGTAAAGCCCCCTTGTAAATATCAGCCTGATACCTTGTTTACAGAGTTCCCAGCAGCCTTACCAGGTAACCAAAGATCATTTCCCCATTTTTTTTTTTTTTTTAAGATTTTATTTATTTGAGAGAGAACACAAGCAGGGACGGGCAGAAGGAGAGGGAGAAGCAGACTCCCTGCTGAGCAGGGAGCTCAAGCCCAGGACCCTGGGATCACAACCTGAGCCGTAGGCGGAGGCTTAACTGACTAAACCCCCTCGGTGCCCCAAGATCATTTCCTAATAGGTGCAGGAACCTGGTTATCTGGGAGACCTCAAGAAGAGCGAAATTCACCCAAATCTATCGATATCACAGGCAATGTCTGGTGACCTATATTTGGCTTGGCTTCTGGCCTAGAGTAGCTATTAAAAGTTCAATATAGAGATTCGTTATGAAACGTTCAACAAAATGATCTGTCCATCAAACCTTTCTTCCTGGTACACTATGTAAATAATCAGGCCAAGTTTTCTTCCTTCAACTAGATTTATTTTCAATGAAATTAATGTTAATTTGGTATGCTTGGTATGATTATAGAGAAAAATATGTTTCAATAACACATGTTTGTAGATAAAAGATTTTAATACTATTCATTATAATGTGGACTAGATTCTGATTTCTCCTAGTGTCATCCAGTGGCTGGCTACAAATCCCCAAACTAATATTCTCATTTTTCTCCCACCCTTCTGACCTGAAATTGTGTGAGAACTAAAACTGCCTTTTTTTTTTTTTTAAGATTTTATTTATTTATTTGACAGAGAGACACAGCGAGAGAGGGAACACAAGCAGGGGGAGTGGGAGAGGGAGAAGCAGGCTTCCCGCTGAGCAGGGAGCCCGATGCGGGGCTCGATCCCAGGACCCTGGGATCATGACCTGATCGATCCCAGGACCCTGGGATCATGACCTGAGCCGAAGGCAGACGCTTAACGACAGAGCCACCCAGACGCCCCTAAAACTGCCTTCTTCCTGAAGCTCTGCAAGCTTAATATAAATGTCTCGATGTATTGGAAATTACAAGTTACAAAAGATGAGGCCTTCACCTTCAACAACCTTAAAGATTGAAGGACCAATATATACAATGCAATATTACTCAGGTATAAATAATAATGAAATCTGGCCATTTGCAATGACGTGGATGGGGCCAATGTATTATGCTAAGTGACAAGTCAGAGGAAGACAAATACCTTATGAGTTCATTCATGTGGAAATTAAGAAATGAAACAGATGGGGGCGCCTGGGTGGCTCAGTTGGTTAAACTGCTGCCTTCAGCTCAGGTCATGATTCCAGGGTCCTGGGGGGATAGTGCCCCGCATCGGGCTCCCTGCTCATGCGGGAAGCCTGCTTCTCCCTCTGCCTGCTGCTCACCCTGCTTGTGCTCTTTCTCTCTCTCTCTCTCTCTCGCTCTCTCTCTCTGTGTCAAATAAATAAATAAAATCTTAAAAAACAATTAAAAAAAAAGAAACAGATGAACATGGGGGGAAAATGATAGGGAAACCACAAAAACTCCTAACTACAGAGAACAAACTGAGGGTTGTTGGAGGGGAGGTTCAGATGGGGGAGGTAGGTGATGGGTGTTAAGGAGGTCACTTGTGATGAGCACTGGCTTCTGTATATAAGTGATAAATCACTAAATTCTCATGAAACTAATGTTACACTATATGTTAACTGGAATTTATTTATTTTTAAGATTTTATTTATTTATTTGACAGAGACACAGAGAGAGAAGGAACACAAGCAGGGGGAGTGGGAGAGGGAGAAGCAGGCTTCCTGCCGAGCAGGGAGCCCGATGCGGGGCTCAATCCCAGGACTCTGGGATCATGACCTGAGCCAAAGGCAGACGCTTAACGACTGAGCCACCCAGGTGCCCCTGTTAACTGGAATTTAAATAAAAACTTGAAAGTCCAAAATAAAAAATTTAAGGACAAAGAATTGGTCATTGGTGAAAGGATAAGAAATAGAAACAGAAAAATGTTCATTTTAGCCCAGGAGGCTGACCTATAGCCTGCATAGTTTTTGTTTTTGTTTTTTTAAAGATTTTATTTATTTGAGACAGAATGAGAGAGAGCACATAAGAGGGGGGAGGGTCAGAGGCAGAAGCAGGCTCCCTGCTGAGCAGGGAGCCCAATGCGGGACTCGATCCAGGGACTCCAGGATCATGACCTGAGCCGAAGGCAGTCACTTAACCAACTGAGCCACCCAGGCGCCCTAGCCTGCATAGTTTTGATAAGGATCCGATGTGTGCAGATTTCTACATTCTTAAATGGTCTAATGAGTCCTGTACATCTCACCAATAGTTAATATTGAACTGAATGATAAGCACCTTAGAAATTTTGCAAAAGTAGGTTTATGAGTATAAATCCGAGGAGGAGTGCTGGGATGCCTCAGTCTGTTAAGTGGCCTAGTCATGATATTGCCTCAGGTCATGATCTCAGTATGGTGGAATGAACCCTGTGTTGGGCTTCCAGCTCAGCACAGTGTCTGCTTGAGACTGTCTCTCCTCTCCCTCTGCCCTCCCACCACTCTCACTCCATCTCTAAAATAAATCCTTAAAAAAGAAATTTGATGAGGGGTGCCTGGGTGGCTCAGTTGGTTGAGCAACTGCCTTTGGCTCAGGTCATGATCCCAGGGTCCTGGGATGGAGCCCCGCATCGGGCTCCCTGCTCAGTGGGAAGCCTGCATCTCCCTCTCCCACTCCCCCTGCTTGTGTTCCTGCTCTCGCTGTCTCTGTCAAATAAATAAGATCTTAAAATAAAATACAATAATACGTACCACCTTGGGGCGCCTGGGTGGCTCAGTCAGTTGAGCATCTGCCTTGGGCTCAGGTCATGATTCCGGGGTCCTGGGATCGAGCCCCGCATCAGGCTCCCTGCTCCTTGGGGAGCCTGCTTCTCCCTCTCCCTCTGCTGCTCCCCTGCTTGTGATCTCTCTGTCAAATAAATAAAAAGAAAAAAGAAATTTGATGAAACATTTATGATCTAATACTCCATGCACAACCCCACCCCTCAAGCACTAAGCATATAACCACCTGCTGCAAGCACTAAAATTGTCACTCTTGGGGGGCTTGGTTGGCTCAGTCAGTTAAGTGTCTTACTTCCACTAGGGTCGTGATCTCAGGTTCCTGGGATCCATCCCTCAGGCTCCCCACTCAGCGTGGAATCTGCTTCTTCCTTTCCTTCTAACTCTGCCCCCCCCCACACACACACTTGTGGCCCCTCTGCCCCCACCCTTCAAATAAATAAGATCCTTAGAAAAAAGTAAAAAAACAAAAAGTGTAGCTCTTCCTGAGGACAAGTCCTGTCCCTGTGTTACTTGAATAAACTTACTAAGTTGCACCATAAAACATCTCAAGAATTCTTTCTTACCAATGTGGTCAATGATTCCACAATTTTGTTGTGGAAAAAACCCATGTTCCACTGCTGGCCCTTCAAAAATCCAATAGTCAAGGCATGATTTTTGAT